AAAATTTAATAATTAAAAAAAAAACAAATCCACCCCATCCTGTCTCCCTGTTTACTTGCCTGTATATAAGCACACTATAACCCCCAATAGAGTTGAGTAGGCTCTCTGAAGTACTCCCGGAGTGGTGTGTCTCCATTGTGCATGCTTACCCCCATCAGGGTGTCACTGCTCCCTGCTGGCAAATGGACAGCAACATCTGTCCTCTCCTGTGCCATCCTCATCATCTTGAACCACATTTGAGCCCATTGCCGCATATACTATGTCAATCCATCTTGTTGGGGTCTTCCTCTCTTTCTTTCATTTATCTTCCACCTTTCCAAGTATGATATCCCTTTCCAAGGAATAGTTTCTCCTCCACAGAGCACTCTCGCTGTACTTTTTCCCAAAACATATCTATTTATTCTTTTGGTAACACATGGAATATTCAGTACTGTTCTCCAACACCCCAACCCCTAAGGCATCAATTTTTCTCTATCATCATTAATCATAATTTGCCTAATTATTCTAATGCAGAGCATTTCTTCCTATAATAATAAAGCTGCGACGATTATCTCAATTTCTTTTCATTTCTCCCAGTTTGTAACACTTCCGTCCTCTACACTTGCCTCTCTGGATTAAATTCTAAGATTGGCCTTTTTAAGAACCATGTTTGCAATGGTCTTAAAAGTCCTTTAACGCTCTTTCACCAAGGACCCGCCAACATGGGCCACGTTTGCACCAAAACCATGAAGAAGGCGGCCCAGGTCATCACTGAGAAAAACTACACATGCCTGGGTACTGACTTCCACACCAACAAGCATGTGTGCAAAGGAAGATCACCATTATTACCAGCAAAAAGCTCTAGAGCAAGGTATCAGGTTATGTCACACATCTGATGAAGCAGATTCAGAGAGGACCTGTGAGAGGCATCTCCATTAAGCTGCAGGAGGAGCAGAGAGAAAGGAGAGATTATTACGTATCAGAGGTTTCAGCCTTGGATCAGGAGATCATTGAAAGTAGATCCTGATGCTAAGGAAAAGGTGAAGCTCTTGGACTTTGGCAGTCTGTCCAAGTGCAGGTCACTCAGCCCACAGTTGGTATGGATTTCAAAACACCACGTGGAGCCTGTGTGCCATGCTGTCGTAGTTTTTAATAAACTTGGGCGCACCCGCCTTTTCTTTGTTGTTTTTTATGTTTTTTTTTGTTTTTGTTTAAAATGTCCTTTAGCAATTCCATCTCTATTGCTTCTCCCTTAATAATTCAACTCCGGGGAATTCCATTTATCTACTTTGTCTACTGTGGGCTGTTGAGTACAATGAGAAGTTGATGAGCTAGATTAAAGGCATCACAAATTTATGCTTACTCAGAACTCCATAAATATATCACTTTGAGGATTAAGGCTTGACCCAAACTATGGCATTTTTTTATACCAAGGACTTTATTATATGCAGCTATCAGTGTATATGAGATAATTACTACCCTTGTGAAATAGAAACTCATGAAAATTCAGAGAGGTAGATGTTAAGAGCTGACAAAAGTAGAAATCTGTATAGTATGGCACATATGTTGTAGGGATAAGCTTTTGTACAAGCTTCATATTTTAGCTCTCCTTTGAATAATCACTGGTTCTTAAGAGTGGTTTAGGAAACCTTTGAAAGATTCATTTTACTACAAAAATGAACAGACTTTCTGGGGTCTAAAGGGATTTGTACTTGAAAATATTCCAGTCAGCAAAGTGTCATGTTGAGCATTCTGCAGACAGAATTGTTTCAAATCTGCAGCTGCCTGGGAAACCTTCACGCGGTTGAGCCCAGCTTCCAGCCGAAGTTGCTGAACCACTTTCTTCATAGCAACCACACTAGAAGAGCCAGACATGGCGAGAGAGCAAGCGAGGCCGATGCTCCTTTCAGGATGGGTCCCAGTGAGGGTGGGTCGGCTGGGGACTCCGCGGGCCAGACGGCAGGACCAAACTATGGCATTTTAACTCTCTCATATTCATGCAAAAACTGGACACTGATTAAGGAAGATGGAAAAATTGATGCTTTTGAATTGTGATGTTTTCAAAGAATGGTGAATGTACCACGAACTTTCAAATAAACAAACAAATCTGTCTTGGAAGATTTGCAGCCAAAATGCTCCTTAGAAATGGGGATGACAAGACTTTGTCTCACATACTTTAAATGTGTTATTGGAAAGGACCAGTCTCTGGAGAAAGACACCATGGTTGGTAAAATGTGAGTTCAGTTAAGAAGAGGAAGACTCTCACTGAGGTCTCCTGACCCACTGGCTACACTAGTGGCTCCATCAGTGATGCTTCGGAGGATGGTGCAAGATAGGGCAGTTTCATTCTGTTGTACAGAGGGTTGCTATCTGTGGAAACCAACGCAATATCATCTAATAACAATTCTGAAGGAGTCCCTGAGTGATGTAAACACTCATCAAAATATTAGCCATTCAAGTCTACCCAGAAACACCTCAGAAAAAAGCTTGCATATCTACTTCTGAAAAATCAGCCATGAAACAACCTAGAAACAGCTCTTCACTGATAGGCATGAGGTTGCCATAAGTCAAAATTGACTTGGCTTGACAGCACACTGGTTTTATGATCACCAGCATCCCTACTCCTTGTGTTATATTGTATACAAGCTTGGATTTGTGTCTTTGTTTAAAAAAAAAAAATAGGGCTACCATAACAAAGAACCACCAACTTGGTGCCTTAAAACAACAGAAATTTATTCTCACAGTAGGATGTTAACAGGGCAGGCGATGCTCTCCAAGGATTCTAAAAGAAGATCCTCTGTCATCTGTTTCCTGGCACCTGCAGGAGTTTGTAGCAGCATAATGCCAATCTCTATCACCCACATCACATAGTGCTCTTTCCTCTGTGTGTCTTACTGTCTCTGTCTAATCTCTCTTTTTGACTCATACTGGATTGGGACTAATCCTATTTCATCCAGTATGACTTCATGTTAATTTATTATATCTGCAACAAGCCTGTTTCCAAACAAGGTCACATTCACAGGTACCAGGACTTACATCAACATACATATTTCTCTCTCTCCCTCTTTATCATTCATTGTCATTGAGTCAGAACTGACTCACAGCTGATGCTCCACCAGTTTCCAACACTATAATCACATGGGAGGAGATTGCGCATCTTTCTCCATAGGAGCATCTGGTAGATTCGCTCCACCAGAAAGGTGTAGCCTTTGGGTTAACAGCATAACAACCTATGGAATAGACCACCAGAACTCCTTCAACATATATTTTAAGGGGAAAAAATACCCCTACATTTAACACTTAAAAACCAAATACACTAAATGAGAAGCTGTATAAAACACAATATAGAGCACTGAAGAGCAACAATGTCAGTCTGGAGACTAAGGTGCACCTGATTGAGGGCATGGTCTTTGCAATTACTTGCTATGCATCAGAGAGCTGGATGATGACTAAGGATGATAAAAGAAGGATCGATGCCTTTGAGTTGTGAGAAGAGTGTTGAACATACCGTGGACTGTCAGGAGAACAAACAGTTCTGCCTAGGAGAGGGTGAAACCAGGCTGCACCCTAGAGGCAAGGATTTTGAGGCTGGGTCTCACATACGTTGGGCAAGTGGCCAAGAGGGACCAGTTCTTGAAGAGGGACATCATGCTTAGAAGAGTGGAGAGACAGTGTAGGAGTGAATGATAGATTGACTCTGATTGGAATGAGATTAAGTCTGTCAGAGACAATGAGATTGACTCAGCATAGGGCAGGTTTCAGAGCTAATGTACATAAGGCCACTATGAGTCACAGGTGAGTTGATTGCACATAACAACGATAACAACAACATATGTATGAGAACCAGTGTATATGAATGATAAAAATATTAATAAGAAGGGTATTATAGCCAAATATGGGAGGTTGCAAATAAACAGAGCAAATTGTCAATGTTATAAAACAACAACCCCCCCCACAAACCAAACATACACATCACCAACATCATCATCATCATTATAACATCTTTTGACACTTTCTAAAGGTATTGTTCCATGAGTATATAACATGAAATTCAGGGAAAGATATCAGTGAAATTTATGCTTTCTTCTTGCTAACAGAAAAAGCAAAATGCAGTACACAGTGGGAAAGACACTACTGTAAGAGTTACACAGCAACCACAGAGAGGAAAGGCTCCGTGTCTCCACAGCTAGCATGATATACGCAATGATGAGCTGGGTGTGGGCCCACGTAAGAGTTCGATAGAGCAGCTTCATGGGCCAGGATCTGATAAACAGATTGGCAAAGGTGTGAATCAGGTAATCTGCTTCCACCATCATAGCCCAGCAGAAGAAACCGAACACCTGTCCTGGGTGGAGGCCATGCCACCAGGCAGAGAAGGCGAATGTCTGCAACCGTGGCGAGGCCCTGCTTTGCTGGAATATGAGCCGTCTGAGCCAGCGAGCTGTGCTTTGGTTCCACTTCCTTGTGAATAGGGATATCCTGTGGGTTGACTCTAAGGTCCAGATGTCTGCATCAGGGATGTATGCATCCTCTTCAGGGCTCTGACTGATCTCAGACCCAAATCCAGCTGCATGGAGGAGGGAGTCATCCAGGACCCAGTGGGAGTAATAGGTGAGTTTGAAAAGGGCCGCTGTGGACCACATGACATAGATACACTCCAGTTGTTGACAATCCCACAAGCCTGTTTCAGCATTGACCACTCGCCTCACGGCAACTTTCAGGCACTCTAGTCCCAGGATCTGCAGACTCCTTCTGGCCAGAGCCCAGAAAGAGTGCTTTAGACACAAAGAGCTGGATCTTTGAACACGAGCCTGAAATCTTTTGAAGGAACATAGAGGACCTCCCAGGAGGCCAGGGAAAAAGAGAAAGTAGCTGAAATAGGGAAGTGCTTCACGTAGATGCTCAGACAAAGAGCTCCTGATCCTGATGCCTCTTGATGGTGCCTCCACTTTCCCTTCACAGATATCCAGGGAGAGGGATGTGACCCTCTGGGTCAAGAGCATTAGGGAAGAAAGAGTGATGCAGAACCTGAAAGACATTTTTTTCCATGTAAAAACATTTCATGTTTACTTGGTCCCTCCCATTACAGAACATTACACATGACCCCACAGCCAAGGGAGGCTCTGAACAGTTGGGCTCCATCTCATGGCAAGATCAAAAGTTAATAGGGAAATGTACTATTGTGAATGAAAAGGATAATGGAGGGAAACACTAACCATAGTATTTCTAAGAATATTTTTGAGACTTTAAGCTCAAAGACTGGAAAATAGCTTGGGAGAAATTAGCCACGGAAGAAACAAAAAGCTAATTCTGAATACAAGTTCTAGAAAGTTGAAGATTTTAAATGCAAACCACGCCCTTAAGATGAGATTGGCATGATTTGGAGTTTTTTAAATCAAGCTTGAGGTTCAGGAGTGTATGCTGAATCACTGGCAGTTTGATGCAGATTCTTAACCAATGATGTGATTATTACATTACTGCTTCAACATCAAAGAGCAGAAAAGATACTGCTAGCAAGGCTTTTGAGAATAAGAGAATTACTTTGTCACATGCTACTCTCAGGACTGCTATCCCGTGTAGAGAAAGCTGCACTGTTTCACAACCACCCATGCTTCTGTGTATCTAAGGATTTAAAGGGGAATGTCGGTGGCCTAGTGGAGAAGTATTTCTGCTTCCAAGCCCAAAACACACAGTCTGAATCCACCAGCTACGTATCGAGAGAAAGATGAGCAATCTCCTCCTGTGCAATAGACAGCCTTTAAAAATGTGCTGGAGGTCAGCTCCGAGTCAGTTCTGACTTCACGGCAATGAGTTTGAGGTGTTTTTAAAGGAATTAGGGATAATTGATTTCCTTACTTATCCAAAATTGTAATTAAATGAGCACCCAGTTGGAATTAGAAAACTAAGAGGGTTTTTCCAACTGAAAGAACTGAAGAATAAATTCAAGCCTTGAGTCGTAACACCAAAGGATTCCATGGACAAAATATTTAATGAATTAAAAGAAGAAGGGATATTGTTGCTGATGTTAGATGGATCTTGGCTGAAAGCAGAGAATACCAGAAGAACGTCTCTGTGTTTCATTGATTATGCAAAGGCATTTGACTGTGTGGATCATAACAAACTGTGGCTGACTCTGAGAAGAATGGGAATCCCAGAACATTTAATTGTGCTAATGCGAAACCTATACTTGGACCAAGAGGCAGTAGTCAGAACAGAGCAGGGTAAAACTGCATGGTTCAAAACTGGGAAGGGTGTACGCGAGGGCTGCATCCTATCTCCATACCTTTTCAACCTGTATGCAGAGCAGATTATCCGAGAGGCTGGGCTCTATGAGGAGAATTGTGGCATCAGGATTGGTGGAAGATCTATTAACAATCTGCGTTATGCAGATGACACAACCCTGCTTGCTGAAACTGAGGAGGACCTCATGCACTTGCTGCGGAGGGTCAAGGACTGCAGCCTTCAGTATGGACTGAGGCTCAATGTCAAGAAGACAAAGATTCTCACCACTGGACCTATTGGCAGCATCAGGATGGATGGCGAAGAGATTGAGATTGTTCACAGCTTCAGTTTGCTCGGCTCCACAGTCAACACTCTTGGCACCAGCAGTCAGGAAATCAAAAAGCGTATCACGATGGGAAAGTCTGCTGTTAGGGACCTCTCTAAAGTACTCAGGAGCAACGGTGTCTCTCTGGAGACTAAGGCGTGCCTGATACAGGCCATGGTCTTTGCAATCGCTTGTTATGCATCAAAGAGTTGGACAATGACTAGGGAGGACAGAAGGAGAGTGAATGCTTTTGAGCTGTGGTGCTAGAGAAGAGTACTGAATGTACCATGGACTGCCAGGAAAACAAACAGATTCATCTTGGAGAGGATTAAACCAAGCTACTCCTTGGAGGCAAGGATTCTGGGGCTTCGTCTGACATACTTTGGACATGTTGCCAGGAGGGACGGGTTCTTAGAGAGGGATATCATGCTTGGGAGGGTGGAGGGACAGCGCAGGAGGGGAAGACCCTCTATGAGATGGATTGATTAGGTGACTGGGGTAATTGGGATGGGCGTGTCAGAGGCAGTGCGGTTGGCACAGGATAGAGCAGGGTTTAGGGCTGTTGTGCATAGGGTCGCTATGAGTCGCAAACGACTTGAAGGCACATAACAACAACAAAAGAAGATGGAAGGAATACACAGACTCATTGACTTGGTTGACGCTGAACAATTTCAGGAAGTATCATATAATCAAGAAGGAAGAATTCCAAGGTTCACTGAAGACATTGGTAAAAAATAAGGGCCTGGGAACTGATATCATTCCAATTGACATGTTACAGGAAACAGATGCACCCTGGACATGCCCACCAATCTATACCAACTTTGGAAGACAGCCACCTGTTCAATCGAATGGAATAGGATATGACCTTTAAGTTTGCAGCGTAACTTCCTACATATTAGGGAGGACACCAGAGCTCCCTTATAAAAAAGAAAGAAGGCGGGGGGTGAGGACTGGGCGGGTAGAGAAGTGCAGCAATGAATGAATGGAAATCCAAATTCTCTGTAAATGTTCATTAAAATTATTAAAAAAAAAGAAAAAGAAAGAAGGGTCATTTTAGCCTGATTAAGAAAAGCAATAAATCAGAATTTTAAATAAGGGTTGCATTGCATATTTGAACAACAAGCGTAAGTCAGAAAACATAGGGGTTTTCAGGTAAATTTGACTTTAGAGTAAATTATTAATCATTTATCCAAGCAATGTCATATAAAGCTGAATAGAAATACGTTTGCTAAGATAGTATTTTTTTTAATAAAAATACCAATTTACTTGAACACATAGTAACTTTTGACTCTATATTGTGGATTAGTCATTTCAAAGCAAAATTTTAGAAAATGAAACAGCTCTGCCTCACCTACTTTGGGCACATGGACAAGAGAGATCAGTCCTTGGAGAAGGACATCATGCTTGGGAGGGTGGATGGACAGTGCAGGCGAGGGAGACCCCGATGAGATGGATTGAAACAGTAATTGGGGTGATGGGGGTTGGTGTGTCAGGATTAGTGACAGTGGCTCAGGACAGGGAAGGGTTCAGAGCTGCTGTACATAAGGTCGTTATGCATCGCAGGTAACTCAACCAATAACCTTCTAGAACAGGTTTGGAAGCAGGAGTGGCATCCACTTCCCAAACAACTTGCCTCCAGAAACTCTATGAACTTTAATAAATGTCAGTAGTTGTAGAGGGGCTTCACGCCTTTTGTTCATAGGGTCGCTCTAAGGCAATGAACAACAATAATAACATTCCAAAATAAAAGTGATCCAACAGAGTGTGGAAAGTATCTAGCAATATCATTAAAGTAAAATCTTGCTTAAGATTTTTTTTTTAATGGCTGGAAGAGTACATCAACACAGAACTGCCAGAAGTTCAAGGTGGATTCATAATAGGCCATGGTACAAAGGATATCTTTGCTGATGTCAGATGGGTCTTGGCCAAAAGCCAAGAAGACGAGAAGGGTGTCTATTTGCGTTTTATTGACTATGCAAAGGCATTTAGTGCAGATCATAAAAGTTCTAGCTAACATTGAGAAGGATGGAGATTCTAGAACACTTAATTGTGCTCATATGAAGCATTCATATAGACCAAAAGAATTTTCTGAACAGAACAAACACTGCATGGTTTAAAGTCAGGAAAAGTGTATTTCAGGGTTGTATCCCCTTTCCCCACTCCCTATATCTATTCACTCTATATGCTGAGCAAATAATTGAAGAAGTTGAACTATATGAGGAAGAATGTGGCATTAGGATTAGAGGAAGACTCAACAACCTGTATTATTCAGGTGATACAATCTGGGTATCTGTGGTTTATCATTCAGATGTATTCTCTAGCCAATGATTAACTGTCCATTTTGTGCTGATGTAATTATTGTATGAAAGAGAGTGGATTAGGATGGGATGCAAGCCCCACCCTACTAGAGGCTTTCATAAACTCATGGGGCCTCAGCGCCATTGCTTTTTTTCCTTTGGAAAACTTTGCTCACCTAGCACATAGCTTCCAGCTCTTCACCGGTCTCTACACCACCCATAGTCACCATCTAGCTGTGCCGCAAGTGACAGTCAACTGGATCCTGGCCCACTGCTCAGCAGTTTCTCCAAAACCAGCCTGCATACCTATGGTCACGTGAGTCATTCCCCTGACGGGTCTGAGTCTCTGGGAGGCCTAGCAAATCTGAACCCAAGGACCATAGAGGAATTGGAGAACTGAGCCATGGATGGAGTTGTTCGTATTAGAAGTTATTGACTCATACAGCTGGATAAGCACTTGGGACTATGTTGACATAAGACTTCTCTACTAATCTTAGCTAATCTCAGGACAAATTATGAATACACACACCTTGCTTGCAGAAAGTGAAGAAGACTTGAATCACTTCCTGCAGAAGATCAGAGACCAGTTTTCAATATGGGTTACATCTCAACATAAAAAACCTAAAACCCCTCACTACTGAACCAGAAGACAACACCAGGATAGATGGAGAAAAGATTAAAGTTGTCAACAATGTCATTTTACTTGGATAGACAACCAACACGCATGGTAACAGCAGTTAAGAAACTAAAAGATGTGCTGCTTTGGGAAAATCTGCTGTCAAGGACCTCTCCAAAGTGCTAAAGAGTAATGAGGTCAGCTTTTTTCCACTGATTCCTAGGAATCTAAAAATTAGATAATAAATAAGGATAACTGAAGAAGAATTGATGCCTTTGAACTCTGGTGTTGGAGAAGAGTACAGAGTGTCTCATGGACGGCCAAAAGAACAAACAAATCTGTCTTGGAGGAAGTACAATCAGGTTGCCCCCTAGAGACAAAGATGCTGAACACACATCTCACAGCCTTTGAGTGGATTGTCAGTAGGAAAAGACATCATGCTGGGAAACACAGAGGCTCTTTTAAAGAAAAGACAATGATCGAAGAGACGAATTGATGTAGTGACTACAACAAAGGGCTTAAGCATGACGGAGATACTGATGACGACACAGGACAGGGCAAGGCTCAGATCTGTTGTTCTGATTAGATTGCTATGAGTTTTAGTCAACTTGCAGGCACCGCACAAAAACTAAAGGCAGTATACACATACCAGTTTCTTTTCACAGATTCTGGCTCAGAGTCACCTTGTGAGAATCAGAGTGGAATGAGTGAGTTTTCAATGAATGCGGTAGAGCTCCAGACCTTTCTTCCAAGGCACCTAGCCTTTAGGCTAGCAACTGAGCACATTAAGGATTTGCATCACTCAGGAATTCGGAAAGAAAAAAAAAATCAAAAGAAAAAGTGGCCTCTATATGTCACTCATCCTATTCAGGCTCTTGGTCAATTAAGCACTGGCTCAGCCTTCCTCCCTCTCAAGATCCCGTTTAACTTGCTTTTCCAGCCCCTATCAGGTCAGTGCTTCCTACAGAAATCTTAATTCACCACATACCAGCCAATGCTTCCTACTCTCTGCCCACCTGGCAGCTTGCCTTTTCTTCAAGAAGCCAACCCTGAAAGCCTTATGTGAAAACAGTCATAATAAAGAAAAGGATTCTGGATGTGGTATAGGGATGGCAAAGTCAGGGAGCCCACGGCCAGCTAGAGTCAGAGAGAATCACCAAGACAGGCTACGGCAGTCCGTAGTCACCTCAGACTCACGTCAGTCACGATAACTAGAGGCAACCAGGAACCTCAGGCCTCGAGATCAGATCACAGAGACACATGCTTCCTCCTAGTTTTTTGTAATCTCATTGACTCCTAAAAACACTTTTTGATCTGTCATTATCTCAGGGGGCCGAGGGGAGATGGTGCCTTTCAGACTCCCCTTCTTTCTGCAGAGATGGGAACAGCTGGGTCTGGATGAAAGAAAAACTCTTGCACAAGCAGCTACCTCTTTCTCAGTAGCTGCTTTAGAAGGCAGCAAAGGTTTACAGTCAGCTTCTATCTTCCCTGTCCTAATCAGGAATGCTGCTGTCTGTGTGTCTAACCACCCACACAAGTCAGCAAATGGCACTGAGTTCCAGGCAGGCCTCATCTGTGGGCTCTGTGGGCTCCCCTCCCCAATCTTCTTAGGCACAATATTAAATGCAGCTGTGGTAGTGCTCTGAGGCAATACAGGGAATTATTACATTTATTACATTCAACACAACAATCTTGCAAGATAGGTATTGTTATCCCCATTATTTTCTACCAGAGAAAGAAATTGAAGCTGAGAGGGGCTAAATGGCTTGCCCAAGCTCACACTGCTCAAATATGGAAGGATGAGGATTCAAACTCATTGTGGAACCTTTCTACATTACCACCAAGATACAAGCAACAGCTTGGTAGCTCCGCACACACTAACAAACGAACAGGTTTTTTCACCTCATGGATGCAGGCTCTTGAAGACAATACTCCGTGTAGTGCAGACCCAAGTGACACAGGGTCTGCCAGCTCATCTGAAAGAAGAAAGTGTGTCTGTGGACTTGCTGTGGGCTGAGGGAGCAGATCAAAACCACAGCGCAGACAGCAGGGATGAGGACAAGCACAGCATAGGAACCCATGGCAGCCAAGGCCAGGAGGTGCCCTCCGGCAAGGAGAAAGAGGTATCTGAAAGAAAACGAAAACCTGGGGTTATTGAGTGGAATTGTGTGCCCAAGAAAGATTTGATGAAGCCTTAACTCTCACTGCCTGTAAACATGGCCTTACTTGGAAACAAAGTCCCTGAAGTTAATATGAAATCATGCTGGAATGAGATGAATCCTAGTCTAATCTGAATGGCCTCTTTATAGAAGAGGAGAAGACGTACACAGAGGAAGGAACTTCGTCCACGTAAAGGGGCATCCATAAGTCAAGGAATACCTGGGGTTAGCAGAAAGTGGGATAAACAAGAAAGGACCTTCCCCTGAAGACTGGTAGAAACCATTGTCCAGCTGACATGAATGACTTGGACTTCAAGCCTCCAGAAATGTGAGGCGATACATTTCTGGTTTCAAAGGTCACCCAGGTTGTTACATTGCACTAAGACAACACTCGATGATAATTTTTAAAATGCCAAGTGGATGTATATTTAATCTAAAAGGATTTTTTCTTTCATTTCTCTGAGAAATAACTCAAAGGGATTTTAAAAATCACATTTAACAATATATGTTGTTGTTGTTAAGTGCCATCAAGTCGTAGGCGGCTTATGGCGACCCTGTGAAGGAGAGTCCTCAACATTTAACAATGTATTTATTAAAATGTAACTTTATTGATGATGTAAAGCATAATAAATCAAGACTACTATACATCATCTGGGACACATGGCTGAGAAAGCGGTAACCATCTGGGGACATTCTGCACCACCTCAACATTCATCTCAAAAGAAGAACATAACAACCAAAAAAAAAAACCCCCCAAAAACCCCACACACCCCAAAACAAAACATTCATATCTCCCTAGAGGTTATTTTCATCCTCTATTGGTCTACTGTTCACGTATTAAACTTTGGCTCTGCATCATTGCAGGTATGATGCCAATTGCTGTTAAGTTTTGCTACATTATGCATATTCATTCAATCAATGATAGTAAGTGAACAAGAAGTGTCATTGATAGTTTATCTTCATATGTGCAGTCTAGTCTATGCTTTTTGCTCTACGATAGAATTCATAAAGGTAAAAAAGTACAGCGAACTATCAAGCCTACCTGGCATGTGTAGAAAATGAATCCACGGAGCAAAGATAATTAAACAAAAGTGCAAAAGGGAAGGCAGCCCCTTGATAGAGTGATAGAGGATGGAGCTGAAGCCACTCCATTAGGAACCAGAACAAAAGGTGCTGTCCTTTTCAGTTCCCGTAACGGGGGCCTTCCTGCATGAGAACTCTCTACCAGGCTCTCTTTAATCTTTTTATATGGTTTGGAAAGGCCAGAGTGAGTGAAGGACAAACAAAGCCCTAGTGATAAGTAGTAGCAAGACTGCCTTTCTGATAAAAGGAACTGCTCTATAGAAACCAAAACACAGTTGGATGTTGGATTACTTAATAACGGCTCATTCTAAAAATACTGCTTTCAGAAGCTGTAGTTATGTGGCATTTACATTCCACATTATTTGCCTTTCCAGTCATCTGACTGTCATATTTTCTTCCCTAAGTTAGTGAAAAATCTCATTGTTCTTTGTGGTGGACAGACAACTTTGTGGACTGGGAGTAGGAACAAGAACAGAGCATGAGAGGAGGCAGATAATCTGAGCTGTGAAACAATATTCCACACCTCAACTACTGCTGCCCTCCACTGCACCCGTGATCAGTCCTTATAGGTTTCATTTATTGCCCAATTCCCTAGTACCTTATGAACTCTACAAGGGAGTTTGTTTGGTTGATTGCTGTATTCCCAGCACATGCTTCTTACTCGATAAATATCTGTTAAAGGAAAGAACATTTTAAGGATGCAAAAAGAAGCTTTTCCTTTGAAATATTAGTGAGAAATTAATATTGAAATATTAGTGAAAAATTAGTGAGAAGAGGCTGCTTAGAGGCAAAATAAGAAGGAAAAAAGTGCCATCTTATACAAGAGGAGGTCCGTCTACTAAGTCCAGACATCAGAGAGCTGTCAGACTCATAGCAACCCTATAAACAAACGCTCTGAACCTTGCCCTATTCTGAGCCAACCTTGCTACCTCCAATATATTTGACCCCATTACTACAGTCATTGTGTTAATCCATCTCATCCAAGGTCTTCCTCTTTTGTGCTGACCTTCTACATCTCAAACATAGTGTCCTTCTCTAAGGACTGGCACCTCCTGATAGCTTGCCCAAAGCTGTCATCTCTAAAGGCACACAGAACTGCAAACTGATACTCGAACATCTTAACCACAAGAACTACATCATAGTGAAAGACAGCTCTCCACAGAGAAAATCCTAGTGCCTCTATTATTTGAGGGTGTGCTGGTGGTTTAGAAGTAAGTTCAAACCCACCAGTCATTCCATGGAACAAAGATGGGCAATCTCTATCTAGTCCCTCTGAAAACTCACTAGAGCGTCAGCTATAGGTTGGTTCCAACTGAATGGCACATCACAACTACTGACTGCGGAGCTCTGAGCAAGTCTCTTGACTTCTCCAAGACTGAGCTCTTCCATCTTGAAATGGAATATAATTGTGAGGAAGCTTGTTAGGAAGACAGGGTAAAGCACACAAATGTATTCAATACAAAGCTGGTTAGTTAAATGCAGTTGGAGATAAATAACTGAAGAATTAAAATTATAAGGAGTATAAAGTCTTAGGTTATGCTCTGTGCTAAACACTAGAAATACGTATGGGAAACGCCACAAAATGGTTACAGTTAGTCTAAGTTAGCTGAGTTCTTATTGTTGTTATGTGCCTTCGAGTCACTTGCAACTCATAGCGACCCTATGTAAAACAGCCCTAAACTCTGCTCTGTCCTGTGCCAATTGTACTGTTTCTGACACTCCCATCCCGATTAACCCAGTCACTGAATCAATCCACCTCACAGAGGGCCTTCCCCTTCTGCGCTGTCCCTCCACCCTCCCAAGCATGACGTCCTTCTCCAAGGATCGGTCCCTCCTTACAACATGTCCAAAGTATGTTAGACAGAGCCTCAGAATCCTTGCCTCCAAAGAGGTGCCTGGTTTAACCCTTTCCAGGATGAATCTGTTTGTTTCCTAGCAGTCCATACTCTCAATACTCTTCTCCAGCACCACGGCTCAAAGGCATCAATTCTCCTTCTATCCTCTTTGGTCATTGTCCAACTCTCTGATGCATAACAAGTGATTTCAAATAACATGGCCTGTATCAGGCACACCTTAGTCTCCAGAGAGACACCATTGCTCTTCAGTACTTTGGAGAGGTCTCTAACAGTAGACTTTCCCATGGTAATGCGCCTTTTAATTTCCTGGCAACTGGTGCCAAGAGTGCTGACTGTGGAGCCAAGCAAACTAAAGCTGTGTACAAGCTCATTCTCTTCACCATCCATCCTGATGTTGCCAATTGGTCCAGTGGTGAGAATCTTTGTCTTCTTGACATTAAGCCTCAATCCATATTGGAGGCTGTAGTCCTTGACCCTCTGCAGCAGGTGCTTCAGGTCCTCTTCAGTTTCAGCAAGCAGGGTTGTT